TATCGTCCTGTTCTACATAATTTTTCATTACTGGAATATCGCTGGTATCCTCCTGTGTAAAAACTGAGAGGAAGTATGTGTTAAAAATTCTACACATTTCCTTATCACTGTCAGTGAGCTGACCCGAGGAACTTTTGAGTGGGCCTATCTTGTCCCTGATCTTACTTCTGTATACCTGAAAGAATCCTTTTGGGTTAGTCTTCGATTCTCTTGCAACTTTAACCTCATAATCTCTTTTTGCTTTTCTAATTCCCTTTTTTATTTCTCTCTTTAACTGAATATATCGATTTCTTAATTGCCCCTCTCCTCTTTTGATTTGCCTATATATGCCTCTCTTTTGACCAATCAGATATTTTAATCTATTGTTCATCCATTTAGGATCATTTTTGTTTGATCTGATTACCCTATTTGGAACATAATTTGACTGAGCAGCTAGAACTATGCCCTGGAAAGCATCATATCGGCAACCATCACCACCTACCTGACCCTTAGTCAGGTCATTCCAGTTCAGCCCACCTAAGTAATTTTTCAGTCCTATGAAATCAGCCAAGCGAAAGTCAGGGACGGAGACTTGATTGCCATTATTAGGGGAATTCCATGATATATTAAAACTGAGTGATTTAGATCACTTTCCCCAAGCTCATCATTAACCTCAAGATTATTAATTAGTGTTTCCCTACTGGCAAGAACCAAGTCAAGGAGGTTATTTCCCCTAGTTGGCTCTGTCACAAACTGTTTTAAAAAACAATCCTGGATCGTATCAAGAAAGTCACCTGACTCTAAATTTCCTGTCAAATTGCTCCAGTCAATCTGTCTATAGTTGAAATCTCCCATTAGCACAACATTTTCGTATGTAGATGCCTTACGAATTTCTTTGGTCGAGTCCAAAGAGAAAGAAGACATTGTTAAATTATTAATCCTGGAGAGTTAGTGACCTCAGTGTAACACAAAACTGAGAAGAAGAGATAAGACAAGCTTCATTTGGAGTTATACACTGTTTTTATGAAGCACTTTGTAATTTTATGCATATATTGAAAGTAACTTGTGTATACGTAACCTAGGATAACCCAAAATTTGTTGCTTATTTCCGTTAGGGTACTAGGCATTAAAACGAGCTGTGGTAAGATAAGAGTTCTTATGTCTGACAATAAACTATGTAAATAATCACACCAGGAAGTAGCACGTACAAACTGAGTTTGTTGAACTAGTGCAGCACTTGCCGCGCTGGTGAAGCCCGGTGGTCGCCAAGCTCCTCAGGCTGCCAAGAGTAAAATAATCACCTCGTCGAGCCAACTTACCATGCAGCCCATTTTCGCCCCACGAGTGATAATCGAGCAGATCCTAACGTTTCCTGATTACATTCTGGTATCATGTTTTGTAGAACTTCCGGACATCTCCCAGTATCTAAACGTTTAAATCTGCTCAACGTGGAAAACAGCCATGCCGACTACTGTGCTTACTACCTCTATATGTAAAGTACTGATTCAGTGTTCAGACTCTTGGAGAGCTGCAGCAGGACACATAGACACAACTCGTGGAGCAATTATATCTTTAACATGTCATGTGTTCCACTTAACCTGTTGACAAGCTCCATAAATATTAATGGCGCCAAAACATAGAACTAGCTTCACAAGGCCCCTAAACTTTGAATAGAAAACGCGATAAACTTCAATGGGATGAAATTACTAAGGCATCCAGAGACAATAATGTGTTAATGGGAGATTTTAACTTTAAACAATTTGAGAGGAGCAATTTGACAAGAGATCTTGAGTCTAGCTACTTTACTGATACGATTCAAGTTTGTTTTTTAAAATAGTTTGCGACAGAACCAACTAGAGGAAATAACCTGCTTGACTTGGCTCATACCAACAAGAATTTACTAATAATCACAAATTAATAATTTTCAATATATCATGGAATTGCCTTAACTACAACCAAGTCAATATACCTAACACGCTAGGCCAATTTCATAGGGCTGAGAAATTATCTGGGTGGAGTAAACTGGTGTGATCCGGCTGTTCATTATCCTAATATCCTATGTCAGTTAGGCGGTGATGCGTGCCGATAAAACATTTTTCAAAAATGCCCACGCAACTTGTGTTCCAAATAGGAAAATAAGGTCAAACAAAAATTCCTCATTTCCCTATTTGGGTAACAAAGGGAGATTTCCTTGGGACAAATTTGTTAGGGGGTTTAGACACGGTAACGTAGAAAAAGTCTGGGATATTTTAGCTTTAGTCAAATTGACTGTGCTTCACAGAAGTCCAGTGACTTCCCGGAAGCAATTCAGGACTTTGTGAATCAGTTTGTAACAGAGCTTACCAGAGGAAATAATTTACACAACCTAGTTTTGTAAAATAAGGAAACCTTCATCAATAATAAATAACCTTGAGAACACTGAAGAGCTTGGTGTAAGTGATCACCACTATATTACCTTTAATATAACCCAGGAACATGAGAAATAATATATATATATATATATATATATATTATATTATAATATATATAATATATATATATATATTTTATATATATATATATATATATATATATATATATATATATAATATATATATATATATAATATATATATATAAAGACAAAATACATTGACGAAACATTCACAAAAATATGATACAAAGTAAAACAACATAGGTAACTCAGAGCTACATCTCGAATACTTCGTCCAGCTCCCCTGCGGTGGGCCGCGTGCCCATAATGCTGCAGGCATTTCCTCTCTGGATCGCAACACTGAGTCTCTGAAAGAGGAAGCTGGTCGCCCTGTGGTCCTTGGTTTCTATGATGAGCTTTTCACCCAGCTCTTTGAGGAACTTTAGAGCACACTTGCCCCATGCTCCAAGGGTCTCCGACCCTATTGGAATGAAGTTATAGCAAGGGGGAAGGTACCTCCCTATATTTATTTTGTATATATATATATATATATATATATATAAAATATATATATATATATATATATATATATATATATATATATATATAATATATATAAAATTATATATATAAATATATATATAAATATATATATTTTTATATATATAATATATATATATATATATATATATATATACATATAATATATATATATATAAATATAATATATATATATATATATATATATACATACATGGGGATCCACCTCTGGTGTAAAATATGGGACCCATAGCGTCGGAGAAGTGGTGGATGAGGTTAAAAAGGGATGGGCAAAGGGCGAGGTCTGGCCGACGTGGGTGGGGTCAGACAATCGAGATGAGGTCTGGCACAGGAACTTGTGGCTGCACAGAATGGAGAAGGACAACGTCTGATAGAGAGGGCAGGGAAGGATAGAGGGGATGGGGTTAAACAAACGGGACGAGAACTGGAAGAAGTGGAGGGGGTTTATATGGCAAGACTGAACAGAGGGAATTCAGTAGGTGAGCTTCAAAACAGGGAGCACACAAGGCCAGATGGGGTTAAGTAGTTGAGGTTGAGGAAGGTACAGTATGTGTGCAGGTTCTCAGCATTGGGGAGGGCAGGACGGGGTATATGGATGGGTAGGACGTGGGGTTTGGGTGAGGAAGAATGTGGATTCTTCGTTACCGTTGTTGATTCCAAGGGTTATCATCCGAAGTTACGTACAAACGTTGTATGGAGTACAATTCAAGGGACTCAGGGAGATTCCAGTAGTTTAAATGCTTGACTGAATCATTGAGAGTAGTGAAGTCTCTCTGGTCGTTTCCTAATTCTACAGTTTGTTCTGTCTTGAATGGGGCCATGAGTATATAGCAGTACTCGAGGGAACACGTGACTGAAAAAGAATAATCACTGGCTCGGGATCACTTGTTATGAATATTCTGGTTAACTAACCAGTCGCTTTCCTTGTCATGCGATGATGTCTATATTGTGATCTTTGAAGGTAAGATCCAATGACGTTGTGTCACTACCAAATCTCAGACATTTAGCTTCAATTCTGTATGAATGTTTTGTTATCCATTTCAGTTTTTAAATTCTCCATCAGGCTGTTGGTACCAGCAGGAAAGAAGCATTGAGGAGTGGTTGTTGGGGTAGTGTGCTGAGCTTAATGAGGCCGGACGTGGCAGGGCTAGAGGAGTTGGGATGGGATAAGGTTGCTTGCAGGATGGAGCAGGGAGGGGTGCAGTGTGAGACTGATGCCTCGCGGTGGAGTGGGCAGAGGGATAGTGTGGGGGCATGAGGTAGAGAGCGAGGTTGAGGCGAGGTCGAGTGAGGATTAAGACATGGTGGGGGCTGTGGAGGCGCTGAGTTGGATTAGGTTGTGCGGGGAGGCGCTGAGTGTGATTAAGTGCTGTGGGGAGGTACTGGGTTGGGTTGAGTAAAGGGATGGATATAGTTGTGTCTGGATGAAGCGCTTGGCTGTTTGGGGTGGGGCGGGGTGAAGCGCTATGCGGGGTGGAGCGTGGTTTGTGCTGGGCGGAGTTGGTGCTTTGGGGGATTGGGCAGGGATGAGTGGTTGGCACGGGCGGGTGGGCACGGGCGGTTGGGCATGGGCGGGTGGGCCCAGGCGGGTGGGCATGGGCGGGTGAGCAAGGGCCACTTGACAGTAGTAGTTACGCCTGGATGACGTCCGACTCTCACTCTCTCGTAAGAACACTTCACCAAACTTAAAGCTTTATTTTACTATAGTAATTTATATTACTACACCCTATTAGAACGATAATTGGGTTACATGTTATATAAGAATCTTTCTTTTTTGCGCTTTGGTGAGACTCCTGCGCATTGCAGAAGATGTCTTGACGATATTTTAAGAGGAGCCGTGTGCCAGGGCGACCTCCTGGGTGGGCAGGTGGGTTGGTGCCTAGGTTGGGCTCACCGTGACAGTCACTCACCAGCCCTCGTGAGGGTAACGCTGCTGCCCTTTGCCTCCTTGGCTATAAAGTGCGTCAAGTTAATTTAATTATACTGAAATTCTTGTCTGAAAATTTGGTCATAGTGAGACGTCCTAGTGTCAAGCAAAAAAAAAAAAAAGTCATACACACTTGCAGCAGGAAACTAGCGGAGTTTAAACTCAAGTGTGAAGATTCTTAGTGTTTACAATTATGTAGTGTTCTAAAGTGCCGGGCCCAGGGTTTAGTTGCGCCATTAAACATGAATTTATTCTCTAAATAAATCAGTGGTAGGTGGTACATGTATTTATCCAGGTGTGGCTGCTATGGTGGTGTTACAGTGCCTTGCTCCACCATATACTTCAGTGGACTGTTGAAGGTGCTTCTTAGCCTCATGGGCTGCATCGTATCTACTCTAGAATCCGTATAATGTACAGAGTATGCCTTCACTAAAAGAAAGTCGTAACATCCCCGAGACTCGTCTGGGTGATGTACTTGCCAAGCTCACATTAAACTCAGCGTGTGTCTAATTAGGTTTTCACTCATATGTGTAGTTGTATGCATCTGTATGTGTATTCACGTGTTTAGGTATCATGTACATTTACCTTCACCTATTTGTTGTTTCGGGAGTCGATTCTTGGCTTCTGGTTCCACTTAGCTTGCCGTGACTGGGTTCACATCTTCCTAACCTCATGAGCTATATTACACTTGTTCTTAAAGCTGCATATAGCGTATACCTTTTACTTCCAACTACGCTCCATTTCCTCTATCATTTTCCCTCTCCTCACTAGCAAGTCCTCTGGGTATCTTGTACATTGCTATCCTGTTTCCCTTGGCCCTTTTATCTTCTTAGGTAAGATACAGTTTTTCTGGGTGCCCCGTAGCTCGATTGCTAGAGAACTCAGCTCACACTCTGAGGTACGTGATTCAATCCCCAATACGGTGGAAATATTAGGACGTGTTTCTTTAAGGCACCTGCTGTCTGTGCTCACCTATCAGTAAAATAGATACCTGGGTGTAAGTCGACTGGTATGGGTCGCATCCTGGGGACAAAACTGACCTAATTTGCCCCAAATGTTCTGCATAACAAGGGGCTTTCTATGTAGTAGTATGACTGATGTCAGCTAGGCCTGTATACCTTGTACATGTACTTGCAGAGATAAAGAATATTATTATTATTATTATTATTATTATTATTATTATTATTATTACTATTATTATTATTATTATTATTATTATTATTATTATTATTATTATTATTATTATTATTATTATTATTATTAAAATTATAGTCTCCCATAGCTCATTTTTCTTAGTCTCAGGACTAGCCTTCCTACGAACCTTTGCTATGTTTTATTTGGTGTGGGTTCCATGATGTTTACATTCTACATGAAAGGCCTTGTTATTCTTTATATAAAGACAAATATAAATCTTTGCTGTGGTTCCTGAAAGTCAATAAAGCATTCCGTTGATGTGCTCTTGAAATTTGCCACCTCACTTTATCCCTCTCATCTTCAAACCACTTTATCTTATTAACAGCGGTACTCCTTACGATCCTCAGAGTCCTCTTTCTTGGTATATGATCTCCAGCTGGTAATATTGCATATGTTATGCGTCTCAGTTATGTAGTTTAATCTCCATGACAGTTATGATGTCTGGGAATGCCAATGCTATTTATAATTTTAGATGACTTTTGTTTGACATTTCACCTGTACTAGAATGCCATATAGTGCGTTTTAATTTGTGTCTCTTTATTTTCTGGCTTGTGATATCCTGGTTCCCTGATTCTTGTTCATGGGTTTGGTTTAAGGAAGAATGAGGTATAAGTGGGTAAAGTTATTGGTGCTGGGGTTGATGGAGCTAAAGAGAAATTCTTGGAGCCTGTACAAGTGTGTACGTATCGTGAACAGCTGTATAAGGGTGTGCATGTATGTAAGCACAATGTGTATAGATATGTACAAGTAAGTCGGCATCGTATACGCCTGTGTAGTCTCGTACACGTGCATATTCGGAGGCACACTTATCTTAAGTGGTCCCGGTCGTCTTCACTTGTCCCTACAGGACCATCTGGCCTTAGAGCAATCAAATTGATGGAGTGTGGCGAGAGATGCAGGAACATACCCAGAGTCTACCCCTAACATACTTCACGCTTCACCCACAACCTCCAGGCTACAACCACAACCTTCACAATAAGTCCACTCCCACCAAACATTACACTCTACAAAATAAACCCACATAACACCTACTGTACACTATCCACATCAAACTCACAGAATCCACACTTCAACCAACCCCTTCACACTACACGAACACCTTTCACATTACACCCACACACTCCACATGATACCCACATCTTCCACACTTTTTCTACACCTTCCACACTACAACACCTGCCTAACTACAACCACACTCTCCACACTATGCCCACGCCCTCTAAACTACAACTACTTCCTCGGCACACCACCAACAACAGTTACATTGAATCCACACCTGCCACACTACGCCCACTCTTGCCACATTACACCCATACCCTCCAAACTTCATCCATACCCTCTACTCTATATCCACAACTGTTAAACTACATACACACCCGTCCTACTACACGAAGTCCCTTCACACTAAACCCACACCCTCCATACCATATTCATACCCTCCACACTACAACACCTTTCACACCACACCCACACCCTACACACTACACCCTCTAAACTTAACTCACACCAACCATACTACACTCGCGCTCTTCGCACAACACCAAGACACTCCACATTACACCAACGCACTCCACACTACACTCACTCCTCCACCCTCCCCCCCCCACACACAAGGTGGACAGAGACAGGATGTTCGAGAGATGCGACACAGCAACAAGGGGTCACAGTTGGAAGTTGAATACCCAGATGAATCACAGGGATGTTACGAAGTATTTCATCAGTCACAGAGTTGTCAGGAAGTGGAATAGTCTGGGAAGTGATGTAGTGGAGGCAGGATCCATACACAGGGAGCAGGAAGAGTGACCTGGTAGCGACCAGTGAAGAGGCGGGGCCTGGAGCTGTGACTCGACCCCTGCAGCCACAACTAGGTGAGAACACACACACACACTCCATATAAGACCCACACTCATAACACTGTACCTACTCCATTCACACAGCACCCACACTAACCACTGTATACACACCCACCATACTCTTCATCACCTGCCACACCACACCCTCGCCGTTCACACTACAGCTCCACCAACTACACACCCATACTCTCCACACTACGCCCATATCCACCACGCTACACCCACACACCTCATTCAGCTTCAACACCCACAACACTAAACCCACACTCACTACACTACACCCACAACACTAAACCCACACTCACTACACTACACCCACACCAACCACTACACCCACACCAACCACTACTCCCACACTAACCAATACACCCACACCAACCACTACACCCACACCAACCACTACACCCACACCAACCACTACAACCACACCAACCACTACACCCACACCAATCATAACACCCACAACATACTCACTTCATCTATACGACTCCATACCCACCACACTGCACCTTTTTCGTTCACTAAGTGATTGAAGAATGAAGTATGACCAGAGCGCTGGTAAGGAAGGAGAGGAAGGACTGGGAAGGATGGAAAAGGTTGTAGGTATGGAGGAGAGGAGGAGGAGGAAGATTAAAGAAAGGGTTCCCAATCATTTTTAAATTTAACTTAATAATGGTTCAGTATGAGACACATTTTTCGTAACAGTGAAGGTGAAAGAAAATACATTATGCACTGACTGCACTGAAGAATGAGACGCTTGTGCAACATCTGGAAATCTTTATTGTGGAAAGTTTTCGTCAGCCAGTGACTTAGTCAACTTGTAGGTCTCCTAAGCCATTGCAGCATATCTATCAGACACTGCAGCATCCTGGGATCTAGATACAGGGAATTCTTCTACGCTTGCCTGACCAGTAGGCATGACATACTTACATTAGTGGATTTGTCCAATAGTGACTCCGCGTCTTCCTGCTTCTAGTCACCTGATTGCAGTACATAAGCCACTTCTCTGAGTATATGCTGTACTTTTCTCAAAGTTGATGAATTGAACAAATCGACTCCAGGCAGAGGGACTGATTACCTCATTTACAGTTTTTCTCTGTATTCCACTGAAGAAGCCACTGACTGGATTTCCAAATGTTTCACAAGTGTCTCCTTTTTCAACTTGTCGGTTTTCTCAAGCATTACATAAGAACCTAAGAACATAAGAAAGGAGGAACACTGCAGTAGGCCTTTTGGCCCATACTCGGCAGGTTCTTTACAATACCAACCCATTAACAGAACATTTGCCCAACCCACTTTCAGTGTTACCCTAACAATAAGCTCTGACAAATCTATTTACCCACATGCAATTCCCATTCAAATCCAACCCCTCACATTCATATATCTGTCCAACCTAAACTTGAAACTACCCAAGGTTCAAGCTTCATTAACCCTACTAGGCAGACTGTTCCACTCATCAACTACCTTATTACCAAACCAATACTTACTTATATCCTTTCTGAATGTACTAGTACACATGTATACAGGAAAAGTGTCAACATGCATTACCTGTCATCTTCAAGAGCAATGTATCAATTGTGCGTCCAGTTCATCCTATATGTTTACCGCTTATTAACAAAAACAGTATATTAAAATCATTGTTTTCAAACTGCTTTTCAGTGGGGCTATTTTGAAACGTCTACTGTGCCTGCCATTCTGGTAAGAAGTTATTTCAAGTCTGCAGTGTTGGCACAAACTGTGTCGCCACGACACATATTCCCACCACACTACACCTACACCACACTACACCTACACCACACTACACCTACACCACACTACACCTACACAACACTACACCTACACCACCACACTACACCTACACCACACTACACCTACACCACCACACTACACCTACACCACACTACACCTACACAACACTACACCTACACCACACTACACCTACACACTACACCTACACCACACTACACCTACACCACCACACTACACCTACATCACACTACACCTACACCACACTACACCTACATCACATTATGCCTACATCACACTACACCTACACCACACTACACCTACACCACACTACACCTACACAACACTACACCTACACCACACTACACCTACACAACACTACACCTACACCACACTACACCTACACAACACTACACCTACACAACACTAAACCTACACAACACTACACCTACACAACACTACACCTACACCACACTA